CAATCGCGACGTTTTTGTGCCAGATGGGGCAAATCGAACGTCAGGACCACTTGCGGCGAGGGAAGGTTGCGTGGGGTGGGAAGCAGGGGCGGACTGGCCTAAATGTGGTTATTATGACTGCTATATGGCTTGTATGCAGCCAGATTATAAGATCGGGTGAGTTACGAGCCGAGGAATTGTTGTTAACATACCTTTTTGGAAAAATTGATTCTTAAGACGAGTTCGTGTCAAACTGAGACATGTTGTGATTTACATTTTTTTTTGTTTTGTTTATTCAGATTCTGTGTTAAAAAATATTTTCCTGAAAGTCAAAATTGACACAATTTATAAATAACCAGCATCCAGGCAACACTTCCATTATTGCCGTACTATCTTTTGAGTTTGTTAGTGTATTATTTTAATAAAATAAGTGAGAGTGCTTATTTAGGTATGAATGTGTCGCTTGCTCTAGATTAGTCCACATGTATGGTACCACCACTTCACATTATTAATTACTTAACAAAAACTCTTATCTACATTTGATTTATTTTTTACGAAATATTTTATATTTATATTCTAATCTGGCGAAAAATTGCGTAATATCGAGTAATCGAATAATGGAAAAATTTAAAGATCGCAAAATCAGCAATTTCGAAAAACTGAAAAATCGAGTAATGTATAAATCGAAAAGTAGAAAAATGTTGAAACATCGAAAAACCGACATGTCAAGAAATCGAAACATCAAAAAATCGCAAAATAAAAAAATTGAAAATTCAAAAATTTTTAAATTCGCAAAATTGTAACATCTACAATTTAAAAATAGAAAAATTAAAATATCTAAAAGTCGAAGTTGAAAAAGAACCGAAACATCAGAAAATAGAAAAATTGAAAAACTGAAACTTCTAAAATTCAAAAATAGAAAAATCAAAATAAAAATAGAAAAAAGTCGAGAAATTGAAAAATCGAAAACCCTCGAAAACGGAAAATCGAGAACTCGAAAAATCCTGCTTGTAAAAAAATGGAAAATTGAGTAATCGAATAACTGAAAAATTCGGACAATGGAAAATTCCAAAACTGAAATGATGCATAATCGGGAAATAGAAAAATTAAAGAATCGAAACCTTGAAAAATTAAAAACTAAACCAACGAGAAATCGAAAAATTGAGATAAATCTCAATGGAAATAACCCAAAATCCAAAAGTTAGAAACTGAAAAATTGAAAGATTTTAAATTAAGAAAATCGACATCGACATGTTGAAAAAATTGGGAAATTAATCAATCGAAAAATCGAAACCTCGATAAATTTAGCCGTCGAAAAAGTGACAAATCGAAAAATTTAAAAACCGAAAAACTAAAACATCGGAAAAACAAAAAATTTTGAAATCAAATGTAAGAAGAATTACAGACTTGGAAAATTAAAAAATCGAGAAATTGAAAAGTCGAAAAATCCAAGTCAAAGTCGTAAAATTAAAAATTCGATTAATCGAGAAATTGAGAATTCGAAAATTTAGAAACTCAAACATTGAAAAATTGGAGAATCGTAAAACTGGAATATCGGAAAATTGAAAAATTACACCCTAAAACATAAAAATAGAAAAATTAAAAATCGAAAAGCCGAAAAATGGAAAAACTGAAAAATCGATAAAATGGAAAATTCCAGAACGGAAATCATGCAAAATCGGGAAATAGAAAAAATAAAGAATCGAAACCTCGAAAAACTGAGAAAAAAATCTATGGAAATACCCAAAATAGAAATGTTAAAAAATCGGGAAATTGAACAATCAAAACCAAAACCAAAATCAAAACCCCGAAATCTCGATAAATCGAAAAGTCGGAAAAGTGACAAATCGAAAAATTTAAAAACCGAAAAGCTAAAAAATTTTAAAATCGAATAATTGAAAAACTAAGAAAATCTCAAATTTTAAATTCGGAATACTGAAATATCGAAAAATTGAAAAATCAAAAGTTGAAAAATTAAGAAATCGAATTCGATAAATCGTAAAATAGAAAAATGTATAATTTAAAAAACTAGTATAAATTGAAACATTCAGAATTTAAAAATAGAAAAATTAATATATGGAAAATTCTAAAAACAAAAAAACAGAGGAATTGAAAAATTCAACATTTAAAAAATCAGAAAATTGAAGAATTGAAAAATTAAGAAATCGAGAAGTTGGGTAATTCCAAAGCTGAAGTGAGGTAAAATTAGGAATTCGAAAAATATTTAATCATCAAAGAACCGAAAATCCTAAAATCTAAAAAATTAAAATGACGATAAATTGAATAATTGAGAAATCCAAACAAAAAATTGAAACACCTAAAACATAAAAATAGAAAAATTAAAGTATCGAAAACCGAAAAATGAAAAACTCAAAAATCGGTAAAATGGAAAATTCCAGACCTGAAATCATGCAAAATCAGGAAATAGAAAAATTAAAGAATCGAAACCTCGAAAAATTGAAACATCGATAAATCGAAAAATTGACATAAAGATCTGTGGAAATAACCAAAAATCGAAATGTTAAACTAAAAAATCGAAAAAACGAAAAATTTCAAAATCGAAAAATTGAAAAACCAAAAAATCTAAAATTTTAAATTCCCAATCCCAATACTGAAATATCGAAGAATTGAAAAATCTAAAAAAAATTGCAGACTTGAAATATTGAAAAATTCCAAACTGAAACATCGGAAAACCGAAATATCTAAGGCACAAAATCCAAAATTTGAAAATTAAGAAATGGAAAAATAAAAAAATCGAAAAGTCAAATCGTCGAAAAATCGAGGAACTGAGAAATCATGAAATTAAAAAATCGATTAATCAAAATTTACAAACTCAAAAATTGAAAAATCGAATAATTGAAAAGTCGAAAAATTGAAGAATCGTAAAACTGAAATATCCCAAAATTGAGAAGTCGAAAAATGAAAAAATCTATATATCGAAAATTTGTAGAATCGAAAAATTGAAAAATCCCAAACACTCAAATAATGAAAAATTAAACAAGCAAAAATCTGAAAATCGAGTAACTGAAAAATTCTAGAATAAAAGACTGAAAACTCTCAAAATTGAAATATCGAAAAATTGAGAAATCGAAAATTCGAAAAGGCGTAAAATAGAAAAATTGGAAATTCAATAAATGTATAATTTAAAAAACCGAAAAATTGAAAAACTGAAATATCGAAAATTCCAAAAACCAAAAAAAAGAGAAATCGAAAAATTCAAAATTTAAAAAATTGGAAAATTGAAGAATTGAAAAATTAAAAAATAGAGAAGTTGAAAAATTCCAAAACCGAAATGACGTAAAACTCGGAATTCGAAAAATAACCATCAAAGAACCGAAAAACCTAACATTTAAAAAATAAAAATAACAATAAATGGAATAATTGAGAAATCGAAACACAAAAATCGAATCATTGAAAAATTGAAACATCTAAACATTAAAATATCGAAAATCCGAAAAATGCAAAAACTGAAAAATCGTTAAAGTGGGAAATTTCAGAACGAAAATCATGCAAAATCGGGAAATAGAAAAATTTAACAATCGAAACCTCGAAAAATTGAAAAACTGGAACATTTTAAAGCAACAAAATCGACAAATCAAAATATTGAAAAAATCGGGAAATTGATCATTCGAAAAATTGAAACCCCGAAATCTCGATAAATCAAGAAGTCCAAGAACTGCCAAATCGAAAAATTTTAAAATCGAAAAACTAAAAACTTCAGAAGAAAAAATTTTATAATCGAAAAATTGAAAAACTGAAAAATCTAAACCGAAGTCGAAGACAAACTAAAAACTCGAAAAGTAAATAATCCCAAAAAGTAAAACATCGAAAAATTGAAAATTCGAGAAATCGAAAAGTCGGAAGACCGAAGTTGGAAAAAGTAAAATTTTAAAATCCCAAAACTGAAATGTCGAAAAATTAAAAAATCTAGGAACAATCGGAGACTTGAAAAATTGAAATATTCCAAACTGAAACACCGAAAAATTGACAACTCGAAAAACTGAGACTTCGAAAAATCCAACTCAAAATATCTAAAATTTGAGAAATTAAAAAATCGAATAAAAGTCCAATCGTCAAAAATTCGGAAACTGAAAATTCGTAAACTTTAAAAAAATCGACTAATCGAAAAGCTGAGAAACCAAAAATTTAGAAACTCAATGGAATTTCAAAAAAATGTCGAAAAATGAAAAAATCGACAAATCGAAAATTTGTAGAATTTAAAAATTGAAAAATCCCAACACACAAATAACGAAAAATTAAGTAAGCGAAAATCTGAAAATCGAGTAAATGAAAAATTGACAAACTGAAGAATAAAATACTGTCCATAATAAAAATTCAACACGGATTCATAAACCATAAATTCAGAACTATGTTACTTTTTAACATTTAAATAACATTTATTCGACAAAATCATCAATTCCTGTGGGCGGGTATGAAAGGATAAATTTTGATTAACGATTTAATATGCTTCCGGTAACCTTAAAACTTTTGCAAAGCATTCGATTTTTGCAATTTGAGAGTTAAATTGTAAAATGCTGTCATATAATTTTGGTTTTTTGACAACAATCGGTTGATCTATTTCATCATACTTTAATGGTCCTGAAACGTCGAGAAAACGTAAAATCGCCCGATGGACTCAATCACAATACTTCCTTAGCTTACGCTCGGGAAGTAAAAACGATTTGTAGGACTACAAAATCATTTTACTTTCCAACCCGTAATGGAGTCCATCCAGCGAACAACTACTTTAATGTTTTCTCAACGTTTCGTGGTCCTATTTTTAAATTTTTGTCCGCGGGCACAAAATAAATTCAGATTTTGTCCTTGTTTGTTAAGCTAACATCGAACAGAATTAATTTTATAAAGGAAGTGAAACAATTCTGTATTAAAACGATAACGATACAGTAATATCTGTTTTTCAGATCAAAATACGTAATGATAGCTATCTTAATTTTCTTTTCTTTTGGAGATAGTGACAATTCATACTACTTACTTATTATCTTTTATCAAGACAAGTACACTAATCAGAATCTAAATTTAATACAAATGAACTAAAATAGTCTGGAGAAGAATTGTGAATGTGTACCTGTTTTACTGTTGTACTTAATCGGAAGCAACTGAATTATTTAAGTAAGTGATATCTGGTATCATCACTTGTGTTATATTGTTTCTTGTATAGATTATGGCAGGCACCGACGCCGAAGAACCCTTAAATTTATCGTTAACTGAAAATAATACGTGTTTGGGATTTAACAGGACAAGGGCTACCAATGGATACGTCGACATAGGATATAGCTGGGCAATAAATATTGGAATATGTATTGCAGTTTTTATTGCGTATGTTTACTTGAGAAAATTAACCGATTTCTACGAACCAAGACCCGTCGAAGCAGGCAAAGAACCAAGTTTTTTTTCCATATTTAAAATGAACGATGAGCGTATAAGAGAACGCTGTGGTGATCAAGCTGTACTGTATCTACAATTTCTGCGGACCTGGTTTTTTTTGTTATGTGTGGTTATGGCCGTTTCATTGATAATTATTTTGCCGATAAATATTCAAGGAACCTTACACCCAAAATCAAATTTTGGCTACATCACTATAAACAACTTGCCGTCAAATTCAAACTTATTGTGGGTGCATATTATAATAGGTTGGATATTATTTCGTACATGGATTTGGCGAGCACCTCCGGGACTCATAGAATTTTTTGATTTTCCGAGTCGTACGATAATGATCGAAAATATTTCGAAAAGTGAAAGAGAAGATACGTCAATACAAAGCATTTTGGAAGAGAGATATAACGTTACTGACATTGAAACAATAAAATTTGCATATAAAATAGAAAAACTGAAGCAACTACAAGAAGAACTAAAACGGATGAGGGAAGCAAAGAACTACTGCGAAGAAAACGATGGCACTTTTGGTTTCGGCTCAAAAGATGAAGCAAAAACATATTACAGGGAAAAAGAAAAATATTTTTCAAAAGCAGTGGAAAAGGAAAAAGAAAAAACTTTAAATGAACCTCTTGGAATTGCCTTTGTTACCTTAAATTCTGAAGATCAGGCGAAGAAACTAGTTACGCCTTACAGTGCACACAATTTATTTAGGGGGTGGCGTATTAGTGTAGCCCCACCAGCATCTGCAATAAATTGGGAAAATTTGGAATGCTCTTTCAAACGGTGGGTCATTAAAGTGCTGCTACTATTTTCTTGTGTGTTTTTGGCAATAGAATTTGTCTTGATCTCTGGCAAAATCCCTCATTATTTAAAGAACAAATTCTCGGTGATTGAGGCATATCCAATGATTCTTGGTTTAGTATTGCGTGGTATATATTATATTGATACTCGGTTGCCAATATGGACTATTACAAAATCTGAGGGCTGGCTATTTTCCACGAAATCTTCTTCCAAAAGTGTTATAATGTTATTTTTATTATGTACGTGTTTAATATTTATATATTGCGTTTTTCCAGCTGGCGGCATAACGAATAACTCTTCACTTATTGAATTGTTACAACCAGGAAATTACACTATATTAGACTGGCAGTGTTTTTATATGGTTGACAAGAGTTTTTTTTTTTTTGAAATTCTGATTGGGTTATTGTTGATTGGAACAGCGTTAGAATTTCTAAGACCTCTTGACGTCATTTGTTATCTCAATCAAGTCTTTAAGGCAAAGTCACAGGCAGAAAGACCCAGTATTCGTGAGAATCTACGACCTGGGTTTGCGTACAACGTTCGTTACTGTGAAGCCGTAATAATTTGCTCTATATGTATTGGTTTTAGTTTAATATGCCCTTTGATCACTATTATGGGGCCGATATATATGTTGACAAAGTATTCTGTTGACAAATATAATCTGTATTACGTTTATAAGCCAAGTGATATGACAAATGACATTATTTATTATTGTCACCATGTTTTAATTTTTTTCTCTGTATATCTTGCTTTTATCTTGCAACAAATATTACTTCTAGGTTTTTTTTATATAAGAGGAAATATGACATGTTTTTGGTCTTGCTTAGCCGGATTCAGTATCTTTTATGTTGTTTCCTTGCTTGCACCGACTTCTACAAACTCATACGAAGAACCACTTTCAGGATCTAATGATCAGTATATAGCACCACCACTGAGAAATTAAAGTACAACAAACATTTCCAATAGCAATTCTTCTACTGGATAGTTTTTTCAGTAATTTAGTAAGTCGTAGGCAAATTAGTAGGTATTATTTTTAAATATTCGTTAGAAATAGCTTGCATGAGAAAAATATATCCCTATTGTCAATAAAATGTTCAAAATTATTTCCGTTATTTAATTATTATTTATTACAACCACACTTTTAAACAGTATCGTATTTCCAGTTTTCGGGATTTTTTTTTTTAATATATGAATGGAATGATAAATCGCAAGTATAGACTCACCTTATTTTGCACATTTTCGATAGGATTTATATTATGGTAAAGAGAAAAATTTTCATTGACTGTTTACCATGGTTCCGATAACTTTAACACGTTTGCAAGGTTTCAGAGCATACTATTTCGCAATTTGAAAGTTTGATTGGAAAGTATTTTTATAATTTTTTTTTTCCAAAAACCTGGGTGCCAAAAGTAAAAATTCAACATGGATTCTTAAATCACAAATGGAGGAATATGTTATTTTATAAAATTTAAATAACATAGATCCAGTAACCTAAAAATGGAAAAGTAGAAAGATTTTAAAATATCGAAAAACCGAGATGAATCGAAACATCAAAAAATCGTAAAACGAAAAATTGAAAAATCGAAAAATGTAAAATTAAAAAAGATCGAAAACTGGAAAATTGGGAAAATGGAAAATTCCAAAACGGGAATGACCCAAATCGGGAAAGTGAAAAAATGAAAAATTGAAATCTCGAAACATAATTGAAAAACTTAGAAATCGAGAAATCGAAAACATGAGATAAATATCTGCGGAAATAACTCAAAATCGAAAAGTTAAAAATTGAAAAATTGAAAAATTTTGAATTAAGAAAACCGACATATCGAATTATTAAAAATATCGAAAAATTGGACAATCGAACAATCTAAATTCAAAAACCGAAATCAAAAAAATCGAAAAATCAAAAAGATTTAAAGTCGAAAACAGAAAAACCGAAGTCGACGAAAAATTGAAAAATCTCAGAATTAAAATATCGAAAATTTTTAAAATCCAGAAATCGAAATGTCGAAATAGTTGAAAAATTGAAAATTTAAAAACTGAAATATAGAAAAACTGAAAAATGTCAAAATAGAAAAATTAAAAATCCTAAACTGAAAAATCGAAAATTTGTAAAATTGAGAAATGGGAAAATCACAAAATCGGAAAAGTCAAATCCTCTAAAAATCGAGAAATCGGAAAGTCGAAAAATCAAAAATTCGATTAATCGAGCAATGGAGAAATTAAAAATTTAGAAACCCGAAAATGAAAAAATTGAAAAATGGAAAAATTTGAGAGTCGACAAATTGAATAATTGAAAAACTGAAAAACGTGAAACTGGAAATCGAAAAAGTGAGAAGACGAAAAATGAAAAATTTTAAAAATCTAAAAACTGAAAAATTAAAAATTTAAAAATTCAGAAATTGAAATATAGGGAAATAGAAACAAAAAAATCGAAAAGTTGGAAAATTGTATCTTGAACTTAAAAATAGAAAAATTAAAATATTGAAAAGACGAAAATTTTAAAAATCCAGAAATCGAGAAATCGAAAATCTCAAAATTTAATAAATCGGAAAATTAAAGGTTCGATAAATTAAAAAATCAACAACTTGGATAATTCCAAAACTACAATGACGTAAAATTGAGAATTCAAAAAATGAAAAAATAAAACTATTAAAGTCAAAAAATTTAAAATTTAAAAAATCGAAATTTCGAAAAGTCGAAAAATCAAAAAAATCGATCAATCAAGTAATTGGGAAAGCGAAAATTTGGAAACTCAAACTCAAACTGAGGAACCGCATAAATTGAAAAAATAGTAAAACTGAAATCTCGGAAAATTGAGAAGCCGAAAAGGAGGAAATTGAAAAATCCCAAAACTGAAATAATGAAAAATTAAGTAAACAAATAATTGAAAATCAAGTCATTGAAAAATTGGAACATGGAAAAATCGAAATAGTGGGAAAAACAAAAATTCGATTAGTAGAGAAAATTTACAAAGCCAAAAATTGAAAAATTGAAAAATCGAAAAATTTAAGGTTCGAAAAATTAAAAAATCGTAAAACTGGAATATCGGAAAATTGAGAAGCCGAAAAATGAAACACAGGATAAATCGAAAAATTGAAGAATCAAAAAATCAAAAAAAAAATTGTAAATCTAGTAATTGAAAAATTCAAAAATCCAGAAATTGAAAAATCGAAAAATCTAAATCCAGACTCGAAGAAAAATTGAAAAATCGCAAATTGAAATATCGAAAAATTGAAAAATCGGGAAATCGAAAAGTCGAAAAATCGAAGGCGAACTATCGAAAATTAAAAAAATCTAAAATTTAAAAGTCCCAAAACTGAGACGTTGAAAAATTGAAAAATCTCAAACTGAAACATCGGAAAATTCAAAACTCGAAAAATCGAAGTCAAAAAATCGAAAATTTGAAAAACTGAGAAATTGAAAAATCAAAAAATCGAAAAGTCGAAATATCTAAAATTTTATATTATGGTAAACAGAAAAATTTTCATTAACTGTTTACCATGGTTCCGATAACCTTAACACGTTTGTAAGGTTTCAGGGCATTTTGTTTCGCAATTTGAAAGTTTGATTGGAAAGTATTTTTATAATTTTTTTTTCCAAAAACCTGGCTGCCAAAAGTAAAAACTCAACACGGATTCTTAAATCACAAATGGAGGAATATGTTATTTTATAAAATTGAAATAACATACATCCAGTAATCTAACAATAGAAAAGTAGAAAGATCTTAAAATATCGAAAAACCGAGATGAATCGAAACGTCAAAAAATCGTAAAATGAAAAATTGAAAAATCGAAAAATGTAAAATTTAAAAAAATCGAAAACTGAAAAATTGGGAAAATGGAAAATTCCAAAACAGAAATGACCCAAATCGGGAAAGTGAAAAAATGAAAAATTGAAATCTCGAAAAATAATTGAAAAACTTAGAAATCGAGAAATCGAAAACATGAGATAAATATCTGCGGAAATAACTCAAAATCGAAAAGTTAAAAATTGAAAAATTGAAAAATTTTGAATTAAGAAAACCGACATATCGAATTATTAAAAATATCGAAAAATTGGACAATCGAACAATCTAAATTCAAAAACCGAAATCAAAAAAATCGCAAAAATCAAAAAGATTT